ACACACACACACACACACACACACACACACACACACACACACACACGCACACCCCACCTCGCTGCCCACTCCCGCCCTCCCTCTCCAGTCCGAGGAAACCGAGAGCCGCCGCCGCCGCCTTCGCCCTGGCCCTGTCCCTCCCAGGTCTCACCGCGGAGCCGCCGCCGCCTCGCCAGCTCCCCAGCGCGAGTTGGCGGAAAAGTTGGGCGGCAGGAGGAGCGGCGGGACCAGCGCGGGGAGGGGGCGCAGAAGGCGACGCGAGCGGGGAGCTGGGAGGGGAGACAAAAGGGGGGCGCAGAGCGCTGGGAAGGGAGTCAGGAGGTGGAGGGGGGCGCGTAACCAGTGGAGGGAGGCGCCGGACCCAACTGGGCTGCGGCGGGGGAAGCGCGCAGCCAGGAGGCTCCAGCGCCGGGGGCCGCTCGGGACGCCAAGCCCGCCCCGGATCTGCGGGCGCCGCGGCTCTTACCTCACTCGGCGCTGCGGTTCCGCCTCTGGAGAGTCCGCCGTGGCTTGTGCGGGCGGGCGGGCGCCCGCGTCCCGGGCTCCGGCCCGCCGCCCCCGGGCTCCGCTCGGGTCCTGGCGGGGCCGCGAGAGCCCCGCGGCCGGCGCTCGACTCCCGGTGGCGCTCGGTGCTCTGCGCCTCCAGCCCGGGCGGGAACAATGGAGCCGGAGCTGGTGCCCCGGAGGCGGGGCGGGGGGAGGGCTCCCGTCCGCCGCCCGGGGTCTCCAGACCCTGTGGCCCCCCTCTCCGGAACCGGGCGGCGGCGCCTCACGCTTCTCGCAGACCTGGCTTCATCGCCCTGAGGGGTTCCCGGCGCCGCGGCGTGCCCGACTGCAGCACTAGGACGGTGCGCGCTGCGGGGCGCCCCTCGGACCGGCGAAAAGTCTTCGGTCTCCGCTGCTTTTCCAGCTGCGGCGCGCGCTCGCGCCCGGAGAAGGCGAGGTCGCCGCAATGCGCTAAGCAGAGTCTCGGTCCAGTCGGGACGTTGCCGCCCAGCTCCGGGCACAGCCTGGGCTCCTCCGCGCGCTGCGGCTGGACCAGAGTCCGGGCTCCCGCTCGCCGCCGCCCGCTGCCCAGGCCGCCGCAGCAGTACCCGCAGGAGCGCTCCGAGCGCTGTGCGCCGGCGAGGCGCGAGGGCTCGCTCTCTCACTCCCACCCGCGCTAGTCCCACCCCCTCCTCCTCCCTCTGCTGCTGCCTGCTGGGCCTTGTAGTTCCCAGCCGCGGCCCCCGAGCCGGGGGAGCGGGCCCAGCGGCGCGGCGCTCTGCGGCTGCTTTGCTGCAGCCTGGTCTCCCTGGGCGCGCGTGCCCCTGCATCTGAGCACCGCCAGGAGGGCGCCCGAATTTCAGGCAGTGGACACAGAAGCGGTTTGGGGGGTGAGGTGGGGAGACGCTGTAATCCCGAGGTTGGACTCGCTAGCCCCTGCTTTGGAGTCGCACTTGACTGTGCGCCTTGGGGAAATGATTCACTCTAAATCTGTTTTCTCTCTATGAAAAGGTGGATAATAGTGCTTTCCATATAGAGTTGAGGATTAAATGAGGGCCTGCCACATAGTTAACACTCAATAAATACAAGCTTTTTTATTCACGAGAGGATCTATCCCCTTTAGACCCTTCCCCTCCATCTCACTTGCCCCAGCCACAGAGTTTAGGTTTTGAGGTCCACGCAAAGATGGGCCCTGTGAATTCTACGGCACCATTCTTGGCCTCCAGAAGTCTTCCACCTGCAGCGACTTTTAGGAAGCAAAGAGTGAGCCATGGGAGCTGGGCATGCTGTTGGTTTGGAAATTAGTCGGAACCCACCCAGAATACCGGAAGAAAAGGCTCTGTGGAACCTGAGGAAAAGTGGCTCAGATGCCCTTTCCTCTGGATCCTTCCCCTGTAAGCTAACGGTTCCCTAATCCAGATGGACACTAGTCCCCTGGGGAACTTCTAAAAAAATACAACTTTTAGGACCTGCTCAGACTTCAGGAACTAGGCTGTGCCAGGAAGGGGTCAAGAGTCTATATTTTTTTCTGAGGCTCCCAGAGTGCCAGGTTGGGGCCATTGGGAGAGTGAGAAGTGTGCCACAGGAAGTATGAAAGATATCTCCATTTTCGTCCCCTACTTACAAACTGGTTGACTTTGGACAAGTTATACATCTGAAAAAAATCAAGACTTGTTTACCTATTTCCCCCTAGCTGGATGATTGTCATGAGAATCAAAGAAAATAATGGATGTCAGTGCACCAAGTGTTCACAAATACAAGTCACTGTGTCAGTTAAGGTAGGGCTGATACCTCATTGCCACCCCCCACAAAACCCCTCGAACTTGTGGAAGCTGGAATACTGAATGAGATTAACCACCGGCACCCCAAATGTAAGGAAATGAGCTGTTATTTTTCTATTTGACCAGCATGTGTGAAAGAATAGTGACTATCATGGTGTCGTTCACATAGTAGGAGATCAATACATGTTTATTGACTGACTAGAGACATTCAATAAATATTTATTGAATGGATGAGTACATTAAAAACTAAATAAAAAGCAGGAACACATGTATTTGCAGAATAAATGAATTTCAGCCATGGTTATAGATTTATTCCCCCTACAAGCCTATTCCCGCCCCCCCCCCCGCCCCGATCCTTCAACTTTTCAGCTCCTAATCAGGCTCTCTTTATCCTCCCATAGAAGCTGCTCTCCCATTAGACCTTCCTCATTTCAAATAATGCTTATTCCAGACACATAAGAAAGCCAAACTCACATCCCTCCCCCTTAGAGAGGCCTTCCCTGCCACTCCCAGCCCTGTCAGTCCCTGGAATTCTCCTGACCTTCTGGTCTATCCCACTGATCTGACACTTAACTTTGTTAGTCATCTTTTTTAAACCTTTCTCTCTAACTAGTTTCCAAGCTATACCGAGGCAAGGATCCCATCTAAGTGTCTGACTAGTTTAGGGAGCTACTTGGGAGGTGTTCCATACATATTTGTTGTTGGTGGACTTGATGAGAGTGGCGAACCCGCCAGAGGAGGAAATACAACTTGAGGGAATATAATTGGGAAGTCAAGCCAGGGAGAATCCAGTGTTTACGTCAATATCCGATGACTATTTTCCCACTCTATTACTCAAAGACAATATATCCCCCTTCCTCTCTTATGAGTCTCCTAAAACGGGGAGTTTTTAATCCAGCCTTTTTTCCCCCTTTGATTTGGAAGCGTTTTAGGAGTACCTTGAACCCAAATGAGAAGGCTGAAGAACGTGTCCTTGATTGAAACAGAAAGAGAATGATCTAAAAGTCTGTGTGCCTGCTACTGAGAGGCATAGACATACTACTGAACAAATTTCTCTATAGATTTAGCAAGAAATCAAAATGAAAGCAAGTGGCCACCTTGATAGCTCTCCTCCCTCCAGTTCTCAAGGAAACAGCCAATGACAGCAGAATGGAGAAGGTGAGAAACCTAGGAAAGAATGGGCCATCCACAGACTACAGACGCGGCTCCTAAGTAATTGAGAGCTGGCTGCTTCCTTCCAGCCCAACTCCCCTTCCCAGTGGCTCTTCCCCCCCTTGTCTTTCTGAAACGCAGACCCTTCACTTTAGGACAGGCCCCAGGACATTGAAGGGAGAACATCCCCAGTTCTGAGTGTCAGCCCTGAGTGGCTCCAGGCAACAGGGGTCAGCCGGCAGCTCTGGCGGCCTCTGTCCTGCTCTGAGGACTCCTGGCACCTTGCCTCCCCACACAGAAATGTAATCTTCCCTCCGAGATAACAAAGAGCTGGGAGGGTCAGGGAGGATTTGTAGGCCCCTTGCCCTGCCAGCTAGATGTCTGAGGGGGAGACAAAGGCCCTCATGCTCCAGGACCTGATAACCAGTTGGGGGCCTGTTGCCTCCTGGATCTGTGGGAGGAGGGAACCGGTGCTGAATGAAATCGAGGGAAACGGAGCTCTCCCCAAAGCCCCATCGGTTCTCTTTGTTTCGGATGCTGCAGAAAATCCCTTCCTTCTTCTGCCAGCCACTTGTGGCCTCACAGTTCTTCCACGGAGAAGGGCTGTCTCCCCAGCGCTCCCCTGCTCCATCTGAGTTTAGTTATCTTAGGGCTCGACTGTTCCCCCCAGAGATAAGCACCCCTACTACACTGGACTGGTACCGCCGAGTTAACACCTCCCTGTCACAGGAGTAGTTAGGAGAGAGGCAGGCAACATCTCTAGGGGGTCGAGGTTGGGCCCGGGAGCTGCTCCAGCCGGCCTTGGGAGTCCCTCAGACTAGAGGGAGCAGGCAGCGTCACGGCTCCCAGGACTGGATGTGGGATGGGTTTCAGGAGGAGGGAACTGTCTGGGTTTTTGCCTACAAAGTGGATGTTCACAGGTCCCTGGGAGCAGGTGGGCAGCCAGGCCTTTTGCCCCAGGCCCCTGGAGTTAGGAAGCAGCCGTCAGTTACCATCTGGCTGCCATTTGGTGACCCCTGGCTGTTCTGGACGCAGCTTCAGCATATCGGGGAAGGGAGGGTCTTGTTTGGCTTGGTGTTTTTGTAAATAACATTTCACTCTGTCCTACCAACTGGGAGTGGGAAAGGGAATTTGCAATAGTGGCAGTTCAGCCTGTCTGGCCCTAATGCAACATTTATTCCCCGAACCTTGGGGTGGGGAGGGGGGGACATGTCTCATGTGTCAGGCACTGTGCTAGGCACTGTGCATCCCAAGATGCGAGAGGAGGGTACAGTCTCAGGGAGCACCCAGTCTTGTGGCAGAGACCCAGCGTTACAAGCAGTGCCATGCCAGGAGCACCTACAGGGTGTTTGAGAAAGAGAGATCAGGAAAGGAGACGACTGGGGGAAGTGATGCCTGAATCTTGAGAGACGACAAGCAGCATGTGGAAGTAGACAAACTCATCTGGGGTAACTGAGCAGTGCAAGACTGGAGAGTATATGCAGAGGCATTGAAGCTTCTATATGATCTTGCCCTGGGGGGGATGAACTCAGGTCTCTGGGATCAAACAGGTTTTGGTCCCAATTCTGCCACTGCTTTCTGGCTGTGTGATCTTGGGCAAGTTACTTAACTCCATTTCCTCAGGGGTGTCATGAGAATAACAATGGTACCTCTTCTTCAAAAAACTGCTGAAAAGATTAAATGAGATAGCACATGTACTTGGCAGAATGTTGGGCACATAGTAAGTGCTCAATAAATGGTGGTCGCTGTGGTTCTATTTTAGCCCAAGAGCTTTCCTGCAGCTCAAGACACCTCTTTAAGAGCCCATTTTCCAGGTATCTTTGTGGTGTTATTATACGGTCACTACCACACTCAGATTCTGTGTCCCCCAAGACCGGCTGCAAAAAACTATATTTTCCCTGCTAATCTTCCCCTTCCTTGCTGACCTCACAGGACAAGCAGCCCCTTCTGCTGTAGGTTTTACTGTGAAACAGGAAGACGACAACAGGAACATGTATGTAGAAGCTAACAGAACGTATAAAACCTCAGAACCATGTCCCTTGTCTAGCTTTCAGACTCCCTTCAGAATGTTCACTAAGAACCAGCTGGCCTTTTGTCCTCTGCTTTTCTTCCAAGCTCCCTAAACTCTTCCCTCTTTCTGACTCTAGCTTACAAACCTTCTTCCAGTAAAAGCGGCTCATCCAAAGCACTGTGCTGGGGACTGGAGAGGTGACAGGATGGCAGGAGCAGAGCGGTGGACCATTTGCATTTCTGAGGACTCCCCAGGAGTAAGAAGACCCGGTTCCTCAGGATTCTGCCCGGCCTAGGGACAAAGATCAAAGTTTCAGGGTTAGACAGGGATATCTGAGGATTCAACTTTGAAG